TCGACGATTTTGATAGTCGACGTAATCGTGACTAGTCGACTAATCATGGCAGCCCTACACTGCAGTACAGTTTATTCAATTTCATTATGTTCACCAATCTAGATTAAGTTTGGTATACATCCTATGGACATCCTGTGCATACTTTTTATTCAAATGAATGGAAGCAACAATACAGACTCATAAATAGACTGCAGGAGGTCCCATTACAATGCAGCCTAGCCACCTTTGTTAGTAGTCACCAGAGACTTTTGCATAATGGCGTTTATTAAATTCAAGGACACCTGGGCACTGATTTATTTGTTTTGTCCGTTTGTTTTGCCATTTTTTTAAGTATTTATCTGCAGTGCAAAATGAGATTTTATTTTAAACATTGAGCTCAATTTATCAGACAATAAATGTTTAAAGATTGAAAAGTAGCCATTGCAGTTAAAATTAGCTTTTTTTACCCGAGTGTATTGGCATTTTCTTCCATTTCTCCCACCATCAGCTGTATACATGTGTGAATGGGAAAAAGCCAAGACGCAGCCACCAAAGTCTGCTGAAAAAACCGAGGAGGGTGCTGCAGAAGCCGCGACGGAGTCTCAGGAGGGCCAGTCAGCCTCAGAAGGGGAGAGCTCTTCTCAGTGGCTGCCTGCCTCTGCGGGGGTCACCTATGAGCTCTGCGCTGGCCTGGTGGACAAACCTAACCTCTCTCTGGAGGAGATCGCCCGTCAGGAGGTGCTGGAAGAATGTGGCTACGATGTGCCAGCTTCCAAGCTGAAGAAGATTACTTCTTACAGGTTAGTTTTTTGGGGTTATTGTGCATAATTCCAAAATAATTTACAGCTGATGGTTAGTGTTAGGAGCACTCGGTCAAGGTCTTTTGTCAAGTGTCTATCAACTCAAATCACAGGAAAGTCTCAGTGCAATGTTTTTCATTATCTTATGTATCTTATCTACTTTAGTCACTCCCACTGGATTTCTTGTCCCTTAACAATTAATTTCCTATTGTCCTATTTTGTTATAATTTCCTTTAATTATACATTCTGAACTTCCTTGTGCAGCATTTACTAGGAAATAACCTACATTTGCAGTGTTTAAAACTTTTAAATGATATATACTGTAGATTATTGGAGCACACACACAAAAACTCCTGTCTGTTGGAAAGGCTTTGGAAAGCTTTATGGATGGATTTTAAAAGGTGCCAGACTGAAAGTGCATATTAGTCAAATCATGTGTGCAATTTTCCCGTGTGATGATCTGCCAGTGAATAGCAAAACCAGTGCTCCCCTTATCCTGAGCACTGGGAGTGATATAAAGTAGTTTTCAAGTGAGTTCTCAAAATTCACTTGGAAAATAAAGTAAGAAGACTTAAATAAGACTTAAATAACCAGGCAAATATTATAACTTTTTGCCATTTTACTCTTTCAGCTAATAGGTACAGCCATTGAAAATGAGCTTAGTCTATAAAAGCTGTCATTGTTGGATTGGTATATGACTGTTATTAACCTCTGATATGTAGACAGGGCTAATATATCAGACAATATTAGCTGACATATCTGTATCTGCTTTTATAACGGACAATAAATAAAAATGTAAAAACTTAAAGACGAGAAAGGAGGAACACCCTTCACAGCCATGCTAGTGGTGTTGATGTTACATAGTTTATCCACCAGAGGGCACTCTACAACATTCCTGTTGGCAATACTTGTTTGGAAACGCAACAACTATCTCATCCGAGAGTTGGGCAGAGCGTAAACGATTAGTCCATCACTAGTTATGACACTAAAGCAAGATTATTTTGAAACTGCATTATCATAATATTTTAGACTCATAAATACACATAACCAATCCGTTTATGCTTCGTGTGTCTTGAAAAGGCTATATCGTATTTTTTTCAAATCACTAAATATCGGTATCGATATGGGTCTTAAAAATCCTATATCAGTCTGGCTTTAAGTCGGATCATTCTTTGCTCTATATATGAATGTTTTTTGCTGTGATTTGGTGCTCTTTCACTAGTTTAGTCTGTAAAGGTGAAAATAATGCCTGACAATTACCCTTACAGTGGTTTAATAGTGCATTAACACTGTTTGGCAGTAGCTCAGAAGAGCACCTACTGATCAGAAGGTTGGTGGTTTGATCCCTGATTGCTCCAGTCTGCATGCCCAAATATCTTTGGGCAGGATACCAACCCCAAGTTCCTCTCCAATTGATTCACAATCCAGTGGATGCACAATCTGATGCTTCCATTGGATTGTGAATGTGGATTGGATTGCTCTCATGAATGGGTGAATGATGCATTTTGAATAAAGCGCTTTGAGTGGTCAAATAGAGAGATTTATAAGAACATTACTTAACAGTCTTTGTGACAGTGCAGGGTTTTTTGTATGGTTTTGTTTTTTTGGGGGGGTTCGAGGAAGTTCTGAAATTATAAACTAAAAGTGCACAATTTATATAAGTGACCTGAAAATAAGCATTAGGCTAGTCATCCATCTTTGTCAATGTATTATTAGCTGAGTAGAGCTTGAAGCGGCAGTGAAAAGACCCAGGAGACGAACAGTCCCAGATTAGACAGCAGCAGCTGGACAGCTTTGAGTGATGACTCTCATAAGGACGCTTTTGATATAACTCGCACACCACCTCCAGCTCTGTTGGTGTTGTCTATGACCATTGTTGTGTGTAGGCTGCTTCCATTATACAGACGGGGATCATCTTAACCCTCATAACACCTATGAGGGTGTTTCTGACAGAAGTACTCAGTATACTGAAGCTCTCTGCTAATAGCAGGCAACCTGAGGGCACTGTCGCCTGCGGCAGAGATTTAATATTTTATTGAAATGCTAAAGAATTTATTGTTTTTACACCATATGGTTTTTTTTTTTTATTATTTGTTGAGTTCTTTGTTTTGGTCTCTAAGAGTGTTGTGTTGATACTGAAGCACCAGCACAAGACACTCAGCCCTGTTTAAAAATGAAAGAAGATGTCCTTTTAGATTTTTTATTTTTGTCTCTCCTCCAGGTCGGGTGTAGGTGTAACCGGTTCCAAGCAGACCATGTTTTACGCTGAGGTGTCCGATGACAACTGCGTCAGCCCAGGTGGAGGTGAGCCAAAGGAGGGAGAGCTTATCGAGGTGGTCAAAGTCCCGCTGCACGAGGCCATGACGTTTGCCTACGACGAGCGTATACCCAAAACCATGGGCGTCATTTTTAGTTTCATCTGGTTCCATAATAACATGTCTCCTAAGTACAAGATCTCCACCAATGTGTAACTAGTATTAAAATAAGCCCTCTTTCTACAATTTATTCCAGATTAAATCAAACACTGGCCCAGCACACTTACTCCTCCCCTTAAGGCTCTTCATCCTGTATTGCCTTTTTGCTTATTGGTACATGATGAAGGGTGGGCCCCTTGTCTTGTTGCCAGCTGGTATCTTTAAGGTTTGTCCTATTAGCTTTTTTTAAAAAAAACAATTGTTTTACGTGGTCCTAGCGTTTTTCCTAAATACAAATATGCCATAGCTGGTTGTCACTGGCACTTTTTCTCTTCTTTTTATACGTAAATCATTCATTTACTGTGCCATTTGTTATCAGTGGCTGCATATCACAGATTTCATTTGCCTGCCCTTAATTAAAGGAATACTCCACTGTTTTTTAAATTTTATTTTAATGTCGATATTAAATATTATCTACATGTTAGTGTTTTTAAAATCAAAATTTGGTCGAGAAAAAGGCCTTTAATGTTATTTAAACTTGTATTCTCCATTGCTAGTTGCTTTAGTAAAGAGAATTTAAAGCTCCAGTATATATGATTTCATAATACTATAACAATATTGTATTTTCTATTATTATGTGGAAATGCCTCAAAACCAGATTGGAGGCTACTGAAAACCACTGTTCGACTAAATTAAACCCAGTTTCAAAATTATTTGTGGTCAATGCACTGTATTTCCGTTTTCACACATTTTTGCACATGATGAGAAGGCTTGCAAGTGAAAACATTCCTCTTTCTCACCTCTGCTACATTAAACGCGGCTGTCAGTATTCATGATTAACCTCTAATGTGCTGCTGGTTACCTTCAGTTTGCCAGCATTTCCACTGAAATCTTGAAAGCATTTTTGCTTTCCTGAAAAAGTCTGACTGTGACAATGCAAAGCACATATACAGTAGCTACTTTTTGCACTGTTTATAATGTAAAGAATAGATAGAGAGATAGATGAGGTTACAATAAACAGTGGAGTATTCCTTTAATCCATGATCCAGTAATGCAAAAACTATACTAGTCAATCATGGGGCCTTGTAATGATTGGGGTATTCAGGGATGCCCCATTTAAGTTCTGAATCATAGCCTTCAAGCAATACTTACCTAAGTACTCCAGGCTGAACAATCGTAGTATCATTGAAATCAGCCCTTATCCTTTTCATCAAATTCTTCGTGAAGTCAAACCAGTTAACATTAGCAAACACTTACCTCTGCGCAGAGGGCCTCAGTTTAATTAACTCAATTGCGCTGAAGCACGATCCTGATTAAAAACAGCCTATTTGTAGTTGGAGACACTTAAATCCACTTCTGGTGACATCTTCACACTGACGTGTTACAGGCGTTTTCAAGCCTGTAGCACATCAGTGGAGTCTCAGACAAACAACAGTTTGTTTCGTTTTTTATTTTGTATGTTTGTTTTTTAGAGTTTTGGAGGAGCTCAAATGTATACTGTTGCGGACATGATGTCTTAAGGCAGTAGCCTCTATTTTTCTGTTTTTTAGATTGTTTATTTTTTGCACACAACATCAAAGTTACATTATGAACCCGTAAATCACATCAATATTAATTAGAAAAATGTTCAGAAAATGTAACCCATGTGAAAGTCTGATTTTTATAATAATTCATTTGCAAAACTCACATGCTGAAAACCATTAATGCACAAACCTGCTCTGTCTCTTATTGTATGCTTCTGTACACTACATGCAATTCACACTGAGTACCTGCTGTAAACATAACATTTATTAAAAGTTGATTGGAGAATGCTTTTCAGTTGTCACTTATAGGCCTAGAGACTAGTCACCGAACTGTGTATTCCCTGACCAGTTGGTGAGTGATTCCTCGATGTTGTTGCCTTTTTTGTGATTGCTTTCATCGCTAGCAAATTGTTGCAGTCGCCCTTAGTTTTCATGGAAGACACAGAGATGAAAACACTAATTGACCACCAAGAATCTGAGAAAGAAAAAGTGGACTACATCCTGGACACTGGGAGTGGTTCCCTTCAAAGTAAAAGTTGTGCCTTACCGTTTACACCAACATCTTCCAAAAACCACAACTTTTACTCTGAAGACCAAGACTATCCATTTGTGTTTACATTGGACTCTTCACAGTTTTAGTACCACTTTTCGAACAGTTTTCAGGTGTTGGCAATATGTTACGCACTGTATACCTCTCTGTAGCCGATTTCACCTCACAACTAGCAACAGCCTCTAGCAACGACTCGCCTACTGATTAAGAAATACCCATTTTTCCCTAGTGACCAATTATTACCAACAAGCCACTGACTGGTCTCTTGTCAGCAGCCTATAGAAACCTTAACAATCAGTGGTTGCTGGAGTGACCAGTGGTTGCCAGGCTCCTGCAAACCAGTCTCTTGACTTGTATGACTGGACCCTTAATGGTTGAAGTGGAAAGGGAGGAGCCAGTGAACAATTTTCCACCAGTAGGAGCAGGCTAAATAGTTGCTGCGCACTATTTAGCAAAAAGCAACCTGTTTTTTTAGGCAGTGGATCTGCATTCGTAGCTTGGGTTGTTTTAGTGTAGGCAAAACTAGTTTTAGGTCAGTGATTTGTAACTTGTAATGCTGCAGCTATTGCGACAGTTCGAGTCACCTGCTACTATAGTAGTTCTCTGAGTGAACAGCTTGCCATGTTCAAGTTGAAATGACAGTACCCTGTCAAATGTCACACCCTACACAAGTAGGTACTTGGTTTACTACATCAAAATGAATATTCATAAGTATCAGAAAATGAGACGCGCCTCTGAACTCACAAAGTGATTCTCAACAGCAGCTTCTTAAAATCTCAGGTCCAAATAGTCCAATCTTTGATTATATTCAGAGTGGATCTCTGAATGTGATGATGACCAGCATGTCTGTTACTATATTTTCGCATTTCAAAATCACTTGCAGCTTCACTAACTAGGCAAGAAAGTTATCACTAATACTATAAAATGTTAGTGTTTTTCTTCACTCAAAAAGGGCTGGTACATCATTCATTATTTAATATGTGAGGAAGAGAACCACCCCACCTTGTAGTTTTGTTAACAAAATTACATATATAGATGTACAAAAACCGAAGCAAAGCCAATACTGTCTTAAAAAATTCACCTTCAAAGACACATTTCATTATATTAACATTAGTACAGTAATAATAATAAGAGAACTACATTTTGAAACAACCATTAATAGAGCTGAAATCCTTATGGTGCACCTGCAGAAATGTTTTTTTTTTACTTCAGAAATGCAATGAGTGAGTACAGATAGTGACAACAAGCTTAAAGTAATGCAGTGTAATATAATAGTAAATCCTATATTATATACAGCCGCATTTCTGTACTTATCTCTGTAGTTTGGGTGGAGAAAATAATTCTACTACTAGCATTACAGACAACATTGTCCAAAATCAGCACCTCTCTGAAAGAAGAGCACGTTTAGCTTTAGCAGCCAGGTGCGCATATGAATAAATACTCTAGGTTAATATGAGCAATCAGTCTAGCATTTTTTCATCATCTTTTCATGCACCAAGAACAGCTGACAATCAAAAGTTCAACATTAATTTTTCTTTAAACCTTATGCTTCTTATTCACTTGGTTTACGTCTATGTTTGTGAGGCTCTTCTCCTCTGCATACTAAGAAATCCAGCAGAGAGAAGAGCATAACTTTTGGGCATATCCCTATAAGTGTGTCATGGAGCCAGCTGAAATTCCATCACCCGCGCAGATTAAAAAAAAATCAAAGGTTGTATTTTATTCCACACACTGACGCAAACATTTGGGGAGTAACTTCCACCCAAATAGCTTAGAAAAATATGCATAATCCTAAAGCCATAAATATAATTTGTTGAGCTTCTTTGTCCTTCGTCGACCATGGATCGTTCCTCGATGTGCGATTGTAGAGTTTGCTCAGACTGCTTGAAACATTTGCTCAATAGGTTCATATTTTCTCTCTCAAATGCATTTACTTTTGTGAGCGTGATATCGGGACACTTTGGAAAAATGTGGAAAGCACCTTTGGAAAACCATGAGATTACTTATTAGTGTTACACATTGTACCCCTAACAAGACTGCTGTATGCTGCCTGACCAAGACAAATTTCAGTATTTTGCATTGATGACAACGTGCACTTGCCATGGGCTTGTTTCTGTAAAGTTAGGGAATACCCCAGCATTTATTTCCATCCAGAGTTCTATTAGGATTTTCCAAAGGTTTCATCATTGATGATGGGAGAGTCAGACTGCTGTATAAAGCCTTCTTCAACAAAGATCCTCAGTGTGGATAAAGCGCTCTCCAGTCTGCCGTAACCCTCGAACTTCCCATTCCCATTAATGGGAAAAACCTAGTAATCTTTACCTTACCTTACCTCAAGCAACTTGAGGCCACCAATGTTGTGATTTCGCAATATATAAATAAAATGGAAGTTAATTGAGTTCAGTATCTTCAGGTTGTCAGCTGACCTTTTTCTTGGGGCACGTAATGTTCTCAAACCTAAACCTGACCAACTGAAGCAACTTCAGGTCATAATGCTGATCCCACAGGATGTTGTGTGGTAGGCATTTCACCCGCCTGTTCTTCCCCAAATATTCCCATCAATCTGATGACCTTTTTCCATTGCTCCAGGGTCTGATCTCCATGCTCCCTAGCAAATATAAACCTCATTTAAGCCATGTTTTCTTAAAGCAACATAGCTTCCATTGAGCACTCAGTGTGCACTTAGAAATATTTACCTTCACTGTTAAACATAGCCTTGATCTTTTTTAGTAGTTTCACCATGTAGGCCAATAATTTGACCATTCTGAAATGGACTAATGGCTTTTCCACAACCGCAGAATATCTTCAAACATGGTTGCTTGAGAACTGCATTGGTTAGTGTTGGATAATCTGTTAGCAAAAACATATTAATTACTGCAGTAATTATACAGTTGGAAGGCTTTTATTTGTTTCCTTAGTTAAATTCAGATGTGACTTATTTTGGCCAGACAGTGTATTATATGTTCTAACATCATAAATTGCTGTTAGCGTTCAGAAGTTACTCAACACATCTGCAGTCCCTTTTCTCTCATATGACAATCGTACAGCCCTTTGTTTTTTTTTAGGTCAAAGTGGATCTCAGCACTTGTTGTTTGGTTTACTGGAGAACCTCAGTGAAGGATTTCCAATGGTGCTCACAGTTTTCCATTGTCTTGTTCTCATCTAGTATGGTGGAGTATAATAGAAGTATCACACTTGTGTCTAGAAATAACTCATGAAATGTGTTAGCCATGAGGATTCAAGGCTGGAAGAAACAAAATATTTTTAGAAATGTGTTTTACCAGTGTTTGCTTCTGATTTGGCTCAACGTAAAAGCCATGTTAACTTTTTAAGGCCAGTCTGTAACTTTTAACGTGCCTGTCAAAAGTGAAGAGCTGCACAGTGACTTCTCTTTAGGCTGAAATAGATTTGTTTGTTTGTTTGTTTGTTTGTTTCAGGCAAGTATTATCAGGTGATTATTTCCTAACACTTTCCCTTCTAGTTGTCAAGAGTATTTGGTGAACATTGCTGAGAATTTGCAGCAGCATTATGACTCACTGACTGAAAATAAAAGTACCGTCCATGCGGGTGAATAGCAGCTGCAAAGTGGGAAGGATCGTGTCAGATGTCTGCTAATGTGATTGATTGGTGCAGAGAATTCGGTTGCCAAAAGAAGCACAAACAGAGTGGTAGCACTTCAGGTTCAGCTGGTTCGGCCAGCTTCAGCCGGTATTTGAGTTATTTTAGTTTTGTTTAACCTGTGGAGTCAAAACGTATTACGTATTCTGTGTTATCAGGCCTGCTGTTAATTTTGTACTTAGGATTTTTTTTTCCCCATTGATTTTTTTTTAATCAGCTCTTGTGCAATCTTATTTAGTTAGAAACAGCTGTGTGTTTCTGTGTTAAACACACATCTTTTGAGTGTAAAGGCAATCTCTGAGGTCTTTTTTTACTGATTCAACACTGGTGACTAACATTATTCTTGGAGACTTATAGGAAAGGTTTCACAGTTTTGGAGGAATGTGGTTATTGGCCCTTTTTTTTGGTGGAAATTAATTGCAGACTGATGACCTGTCTGGGCAGTTACAGGGATAAGGACTAGAAACAGAGGAAAACCCTGACACAATGCTCCCAATAGTCCAGGCCTGGGACCACCACACACACACACAGATCTTTTTTTTGCATTTAATGCACTATACTACGGAGCAGCGAACAAGAGACGTCAGAATATGAGAACAGATTCTCTTCTAAACTGTGAAATGTTTTCTTCACACTTCTGTGTAACGAACAGGATATCGTGTCCAGACTTGAGTTGAGTTTTGCTGTTTTCACAAAAAACATTTCAGCCATCTTTTTTTTTTTTAGTCGTCACATCTGAGCGAACAGTAGGCATTTACGTTATTCAAGTCGTTTTTGCTCAGTTTTTAACTACAGTCATTATGTCTTTGGCTCCAGCACCTTCAAGCCGTGTACCTGAATGCCACAAAGACGGAGCATTTGCTGCTACTGCTTCTCTACTAGACGTACTGGTTGCATTGTGCTCTCTGTGTAGACACTCAGTTAGCTTTGGCTTGCTGATAACTGTTGGCTGCAGCTCAACTTCATTGTGTCGGCGCCACAGTGTCAAAAAAGCAAATAAGCACGTTTCGTCCGTTAACTGTCCCTTTAGGTCTACCAGTGCAACAAGCCTAACCTGCCCCTCTGCGACAAATCTAAACACATTTTTGACAGTTTAGAGTGAGGTTGCAGACTGTGCT